TTTAAGTTTATTTCACTAGATTCTACTTCTTGAATAATATCTTCAAACCCTAAACTTTTTGATTATCACTAATACTTCTACTACCTCTTCTACCATAGGAGCTGAACTGACAATTACATCTCTGTACTAATGCAGTAAAGCAACTTGAACTGATCAACGTAAGTAAAAAGTTCTCTGTTTAAGCAACATATTAACAGGATGATATGAAATGAAATAAGTTTAAACTTTTTAGTGATATTCTTCAAATACCATAATACTGCTGTTGTAAGAAACTCTATTGAGTAAAAGTTAGTTAAATGCTGATTGAAACTTTCAGGTAGTTCCTTTCCAGTTTTAAGTACTTCATTTCAGGTTGCCATAACACGTCAGTAGAGAGACGTAACTGTCAGTTCAAATCCAAGAGTGATAGAGATAGTAGCAGTATTAGGAGTAATGCAGAAGATATAATTCGAAAAGTATAATTCAATGAGATATATTTAGAAGGAGAAAGATAGAGATTATGAAGAATGCAGAAGGTTAGAAGTTCATAGAACACAAAGAGGGGATGCGCCTGCGTCATTGCAATCGATTCTGAGCCATGTAGTCCAAGGTCTCTAACCATCGGTTACTTTAGTCACGCTGACCCCAACCCGGTAGACTACATCTACCAACATGACTCAGTCCAGTTGTCAGTGGTTTCATGGATTTCTGCCATGTTTTGGTTTGGCCGACCCTAGCTTTCTTCCAATCTACTCCTACACTACGAAACATAGCTCGTCGAGGCAGTCGGTGGTTAGGAATACGCAACACATATCCCAACCACCTCAAGTGATGAAGTTTCACTACTTCATCTCTTGATCTGCCATCCTTACCTAGCACCCGTTTCCTAATAACAGCATTGCTTACTCGGTCGTCCCAGGATACACGAATATATATGTTGTTCAACTAACATTTGATTATTCCGTTGTTAATTTGTGTAATTATCAACTTATTCTTATTTAAATATCGTGTACTTCAAACATCGACTCTCCAATCCCATTTGTAGGAAATTATTTATCGATTTAAACATCATATTCACTTACTAGTGAAGGTTAGTTTAGTTAACCTTAAATTACAACATTTTTAATTTGAGCATTAACAAGAAAATTGACCTTTAATTCAATTACAATTTCTAACTAAAAAAATATTCTATTTACATTTCCTTTGTAAATTATATTTTAACACCAGTAGTTTATTGAAAACTTGTCTACTTAACTACATAACCTTATTATTGTTAACTAACAAAGTTGTTAAAAAATATAATGAGCATTAAAAAGAAATTGGAGAATGCGTCCCATGGGAATCGGTATGACGTTATAGTGTAACACCTATCACATTCGTATATATTATATCTGATAGTATTTTATCAAGTTAAAACTTTACCAAGTATCTTCAAATGTCAGAAAATTGTACTATATGTAAAAATGTATTTTGCTCAGAGTATGGTTAAAGTACTTCTTGTTTTTCTACTAAAGTGTTTTCAGTAACCTGGAAATTGACGTCTTCAAATCGTTACAAGTTGTAAACAGATTGTAAATAGATAGGAAATTCTCATTTAAACATTAAAAACACGAGTTTCATTGAAGGAATTGATATACTCGTCATTTGGTATGCTTGAAACTATTAGGAGTTCACCTCAGTCGGTAAACGAGAGCTAAAACAAATGATCCAGTGACACGACAAACTACTCTAATCCGAGCATCCTAAGGCCCCACTAAGTAGAGGGAGAAATCTTGACAAGACGTAGAAAGTGTATTCTACAAGCGCCCAGAAAATATGAGGTTCACAAACACACAAATCGAGTTTCTTTATACATCACAGAAACGTCCTTGGGAGGAGTCACAAAAATAGCGTACTAAAATAATACATCAACCAATAACAGCCAAGGATTTTCCAGGTGGGAAATGTAATCGCAAAGTAAACTAATCAGCTCATGCGCGAAACCACAAAATCCAAAATTAAGACCTTTATGAAGTGAGTCCTGGGGATTTAATGTCCTCAACGGAGATTTCTTTTCAACAGATATATTACCAAGCTGTAAAATCGTCTATATATATAAGCAGTAATTTCATGAGAACAAATGGCTAAACCTGAGATAATGTAATAGAACGACTATAATATTAGATTACACTATGTGCTCACTAGTGACTAGCTTCGTGAGGAATCTTCTCCGAGTTCTAGTGGGAAGACGTGACCAGTGAAGTTCAACCTGTTCGGGTGTAGGCAGTGTCTACGAAGACTGTGTATGAGGTTGCACAACTCCGTGAATTTGATCAAGTTAGACATTAACAGCGTTAGACACCGGCTCAGTGGTCTAACGGTTAGGGCGTTCGCGCACAATAGCGAAGGTCCTGGGTCCGAATCCTGCGGGGTGTAGGAGTCGTGGATGCGCACTGCTAAGGAGTCCCATACGAGGACGAAACGGCCGTCTTTCAGTGCTTCCAGGTTTCTAATGGTGGTCTAACATTGATCGATTCATGGTTTCAAAAATGTGTAACTATGTAATTAATAACAATGAAAGATTGTGTGTTTGCAAATGATAAAAGGCATGCAAATTTGATAATTAGTTAACAACGGATTATTATTTTTATTATGTGAATAGAGTCAAAATAATTAGAATGTTTCTTTCATGATATCAATAATAGGTAATAAAGGGGTTTAAATGAAATAAGTTGATAAGATTATGAGGACAAAAGGAAACAATGAAAGAACGAGAGGAAAATATTTTCAAATACTAAATAAAATTTAAAAAAATAACTAATAATACTTTGAGGTTATGGTAAAGATAATGAAATGACGAACTGCTTTCAAACACACACACAGCCTTGATTTCATTACTTGGATATCAAGAATTCGAGTTGTTTTAATCAGTTGGATATGAAAAAAATCTAGGTAGCTTTGCAACGATTTGTATAAACAACAGTTAAAATCAATTAACAGATCAATGGAGTGATTGGGCTTGATTCCCTTTGATCTCTGTAGCGAACTACACTGGGACATTTTTATCAGATTGTTTTTGAAATTAATCACTGACTACAGCCTGTGTGCCTTGCTCCATCCAGCGCAGACGAACTGATAGATATCACAAGGAGGTGACTAGACAAGGAAGCTTATTCATTACGGGCACAGCAAAAAAACGAATGCCTACTGATGAACATTATTCATAGCTTTATTGCATAGAACATGATTTTTATCATTTTCATTGACCGATTTTTTAAGTACCTCACAGACTTATTTGTCACCTTTGAATTTAAGGTTGGATAGTCGTTTTCAGTATATATATCTACATACATATAAATACATATATGATATATATGCTCTTGATCCTTTGTTCATGAATAAATTAATAACATGACTGTAGAATAGTCATACAAACAAAAATGCTAACATTGTTACGATTATTTTTTTTTAGTTATTTTAACATGATAAACAAAACATCACCATAGTAGTAATGAAAATATCATTTATTATATTACACACAATGCATAAAACATGGTCAAATTCATGATAGTCATATTAGGCTAATAATATTAAACTTGTATGATAGAAAAATTGAACAAATTCATTTTGAATAGTTGATATAACACTAGATAGATAGATAGATCTATTACAGTAGTATCTAATATCTTAGGCTGTAGACAAGCGTTTGTTAAGGATATTTATTCGTGTATTGGATTTATTAATTGTTGGGGATGTTAGATCCCCCAGAACTCGCTTGATAAATGTCTTATTTCGGATTTCACGTTTGCCAGCACTGGCTGATCAGTTGACCTTGAGATTTCATTTCCCTCCAGGAAAATTCATGGCTGTGATTGGCTGCTGTGTTATTTTAGTGTGCTATTTTCGTAACTGTCCCAAGGACGTTTCTATGATGTATAAATAAACGAGAGTTGTGTGTTTGATTGTATTGTGTGCTGGCTGGATGTTTGTAGAATATACTTTCTACGCTTATAAAGCATTTTATCTTCAGCTTGGGATTCAAGGTAGCGTATCTGGACGCTGGTTCATTGTCTCATTCGTGTTTATCGACTAAGGTGAACTCGTAATATCTTCAAGCTTACCTAGTGACGAACCGTACATTAATCTTTTGAAAGAATTATTGATGAGTTGTTATAAGAGTTGTAATTGTAAGAGTTTAACAGAATTTATTTGAGATGAACATAAGTGGTTACTGTGTTCTGATATAATGCATCTCCAGTGTTATTTAACATTACTTTATTAATAACGTTTATTACTGGTAGTGAAACTAGATTGAACGATCAGAATCCAGAGAGTAGCTTTGGTCTTGTTGAATGAGGTGATAAACAAAACCAGTTTATCATTCCTGATTTCTTCGCTTCTCTTATTGTCTATTTTCAGTAGAGAATGTATGCAATAAATTAATCTAACTTGATGTATACTTAGTTTGTTTATCGCTACTGTCACTTGAAAATTATTAGCCTAGGTGAAATATACAGAATAAAGAGAAAGATTTATATTCATAGTATATTCATTCATTAGTTTGTAGTGAGTGAATCCACTCGTTTGAACAAAACATGATTGGTCTAATATAAACATTCATTATTATAATCCATTGTACCAGTGATTGTTTTATTGTACCCGTTTGTTTAATTGTACCAAAAAGCACATATCTTCTCTCTTTCCTTGACCTTGAGCTTGCTCACATAGGGCTTGACAGTCTCGCTTGTATATTTTGGCCCGATCTTGATTTGTATTATTTCGATACCACGAGATCACCAACGAATAAACTAAACTAAACTAAGAGATGCTTGAAAATATTCAACATTTATACATACAATGTTTATTTTATAAAATTTTCATTATATGGTAAAATACAGAGTTTACAGAAAAGTTCATCAAATAGTCAATCATTATTACACTCAAATAGAACATTTCTTTAAAAGTGCAATAGTCTTAAACCAGAGGAAAAACAGTCTAAAAGTAAAGTTAGGATATTACTGTCTTCAACTTATCTGGTTAATTTATTTATTACGTGACCTATACACTAATTTAGGCATAAAATTCTGGTCACAGTTCATTCCAGTTGACTTTAAATAATGTTTTTTTGATAATTTGACAAACTTTTTATTTAATGTTTCATTATTATTATCACACCAAACAGGGCAACCATTCGTTACTGGTAATAAATCATTCACAGTTGAATACAGGGGGCAACATTGAAGTGATGGACAATATTCAAACTGGAAATGTTAGTAAATTAGAAAAAAATATATAGTTAAAAATGTATTTAAAAGTGGTAAATTGTGATTGTTGTACACCAAAACAGAAAAAAAGCAACTATATTCAATATGAACTTATTAAACAATGTGTTGCTATCATACGAAAGCAATAATGAGAATAAATGATAATGATATACAAGTTATATGTATGAATGATTAAAATTATTACTGATAGGTTGACATATTTTTAACTAACTTCTACTTAATTTTAATTAGTTGGTGAAATTCACTGCTAATGAATCATTTACTTAATTGATGAGGATTAAAATAAGTAAGTTTTTCTCAATGAAGATTAATACATCTCAAAAATAAACGTTACATATTCTTGCTTAGGTGTCTCCAAAGCATTGCTCGTGTATCGTGGAACAGCCGAGTAAGCAATGCTGTTGTTAGGAAACAGGTTCTAGGTAGGGATGGCAGGTTAATACATGAAGTAATGAAACTTCATCAGTTGAGGTGGTTGGGACATGTGTTACGTATGCCTAACCACCGACTGCCGCGACGAGCTATATTTTGTGATGTAGAAGTACGTTGGACGAAAGCTAGGGGTGGACAAACCAAAACATGGCACAAATGCATGAAGTCACTGACAAGTGAACTGAGTTATGTTAGTAGATGTAGGCTACCTGGTTGGGGTCCGCGAGATGATAATAATCGATGGTTAGATACCCTGAATGACTTTGCTCGAAACCGTTTGCAAAGACGCAGGTGCATCCAAACTTTTTTTTTCTCTCAAGTCCTAAACTTCTGAATTCCTCATCATCTCTATCTTTCTCTTTCTAAATTTACCTTACTGAATAATATTCCTGTATAATATCTTCAAACCCTTATCCTTCGGATTACTTCTAATACTTTTACTACCTCTACTACTATTGGATTTGAATTGACAATTACATCTCTGATAAAGAGACGCTCTAATCAATACCTTGATGAACACATCTTAGTGTAATAATCCTGAAACAGGAAAATATTAATCAAAGCTCTAATCATAGCTTTCTTACTCAAAATTAAACAATATTTTTTACTTTCAATAAATAATGAATCACAGAGTATCATATCAAGAAAAAAAGCAAGTCCATATTCATTCATTTCTTCAACATTTTATGCAATTTCAAATTCCGATAAACGGATTTAATTCACACAAAAATTATTACGTAACGGATTAGATCTGTGTTAGTGTGATTTTCTCTGTAACTCTTACATAATTTACATCTTATTGCTACTCTATAGCTAGCTCCTTTAATTTTATTATTCAGAAATTCGATTTCAATGTATTAGCCGATATCAGTTCTTTTTCATCATTGAAGTAACATTGACGCAAGCAGTAGAGTTTGATAAATTAAATATCATAAAGAATGATTAAAATATTCCTTCAATGTAATTGTTATCGTTGTAAAATAACATGGAAAGAAGTCGTTGTTACCTGAACAGATAGATGTAAAAAATAAAATTTATAAAGCAAAAATGAGTTACCTAAGCAACAGAAATAATCAGTAAATTCTTTTTGTGTCTTGACTGGAAAAAAAATTTGAGACTTGAAATAATATTTTAGTAGTCATTTCGATTTGTGATTTCTAATAAACACGGTATTCTCCAAGATGACTTTTCATCTATAGGATGAATAGTAAACTCTTTAAACACCTTTACATGTAGATTTTCTGCTGGAACTTCGGAATAAATGTACAATGATCACATGACAACATGTCGATAGATCCTTCAAGTGAGGATTTAGATTAAAGTGGAAATTATTGTTCTGTGAATGAACAGAAGGCTATATTCGTTTGCTTCTGCCGTTGATGAATGTAAAATTAATTACAAGTCAGATTACGGAAGAAGAAAAAAAGTCTTTTTTCAGTTTTCAAATTAATTTTAAATCTTATCAAAATCTGATTGGGATGTGAACAATTTTTCGAGTTGACTGGGACAGAGAGGGCATAAAGTTAACCAACGAACTTGATAAATTTGTGATCCACACACCTATTGAAATAAACACAGTCTATCGATCAATAGAATAACGGTTAAATAACTGCGTGTCAGAAATCACATCAAAGAATAAAGCAATGAAAATCCATATGACGTCAGGGACAGTAATACGGTTAAGAGATAATAGAATATACTATTCATGTCTTTAATTTTGAAAGAAATATAACAGTTCTAGCAATGAAAATCAATTTTCACTTGAATAACAGCATAAACAGTAAACAACCCTCTTACTTGAATATCTTTTCCATGTTTGAATTGTTGAAAAGTTAATGGGTGAATGTGTAAATTTGATTCAAGGCTATTTTCATTAGATTTAAATCTAGTAAATCCATCAGCAGGATAACCTGGAGCTGATTGAAATGGATAAGTGTTAGGAATAAATGTTTTATTTTTTAACCAATTTCGACATTCTGGTGTCATATATTGCTCTAATACAATTCGTTGATATGTATTCGGTGAAATCCAAACAGCTTTTTGTTTAGGAATGTGAATACGACCAACACGAGTGTTTGAATTAGCTAATTCAACCAATAATTTTTGATGGCTATTTGTGGAGTTTTCAGTTTCAGTTACTTTAAATCAAGAAAATTAAATAAAACAAAATGACGATCAAAGCACAGGCTCATTAAGTATTTTTTAAAGGAAATGTGTTGTCATATGTACTGATTCATAATTTTGTGAAACCTCGTATTCTTGATGTTATACTCGTCTCTTGGTATACTTAAAACTATTACGGGTTCACCTTAGTTGAATAAAGAGAACTAAACAATGAACCAGCGTCCAGGAAGGCTACTGTGATCCATTTGTCCCAATCGTACCAGCTAGAAGTCTTGATATAGAGTAGAAAATGTATTCAACAAACACTCGGCAATCACAATACAATCAAGCACACAGCTCTCGTTTATTTATACATCATAGAGACGTCCTTGGGAGAGTCACAAAATAGCACACTAGAATGACACAGTAACTAATCACAGCCAAGGATTTTCCTGGTGGGTGATGTTGTCTCAAGGTCAACTGATCGGCCCATGAAATAAATCCAAAACAAAGATATTTATCAAACGAGTTCTGTGGATCTAACATCCTCAGCACTAGAATCTCTAAGAACAATCATATCTAGTCAAACATTGATAAACGTGAAGTTTTAACTGCAAAATAACTTAATAACAATAATAAAGAATGTTAAGACTAGCAAGTTATAGAAATACAAAGCTGAAAAGATCTAAAACTTAATACTTCATTGTTGAACATAAACTATAATTTTTTAAGTTATCAAGTGTAAAAAACTTTGCTTCATAAAGCACTTTATTGAATAAAAAATGAAAAAAAAGTTTATGATTTGGTTTTAAATCAATACTAACCTAGTAACCAAAGAGTGCGAATTGGTAAATATTACTGCGTTTTTTTGAATAAGTACTTTATTTTTTACTGTCTGTTAAACTGCATTTCTTGAGAACATTTTCAGAAAAAAAAATTTTAGTACAACTAGATATTTCTAAAAAAAATTTTTCAAGTTATTTTTTAGAATTGCTATGTATGAATAGATTTTGTATCGTTTTATAGTGATATAAACTATCTGAAATAATCAGTTATACAATATATATATATATCGTAACAAAGTATTATTCACTATCTAAAACATTAATGTTACTTAAAAATTAAATTTTTAAGTTTATTCATATATTCCCTTTGGAAAAAAAGAAGAGAATCATAATGTTCGATTGATTCAAATACTTATTTGAAGTGATTACTATTTAACGTATTTACAGATGAATAGTATTTACTAACAGATTGAAAGTTATACAGAATCCCGTTTGAAAGTTTACAATAGAATGTAAGTGCGAATTTACATGAATTTATTTCGGCCTCGACTAATAATTCAATTTTCCTATCAATTCAGCTGTGTGAGTTTGTTCAAAAATGATATGTTTATGATGAGGTTGTGTATTAAATGTTCACAAATTTAAACTGTACTAAAAGGAGGAATATTTTTAAAAGAAATTAAACTTAACAGTGAGTTTCAGCATAAAATGTTAGAATTTTTGTAGGAGGACATTTCTTATTTTAAGATAACCGACTTAAGTGAATCGAAACATTTATCTATGAAATTAATTGAGAAATTAAAGAATGTATTAACGTACTTACTGAAATACTGCAATGAAATGAAATTGATGACCAGCATAAAATTTGTAGATTTATTTATTACTAACGAAAATATGATTCAATGGCAATCATTAAAAATTAGGTTAAAAATCAACTTAATAAAAGATGAATTTTTTTGGGGGGGCAGAGTTTTGGAGGTTAGTGTTTCTACACGTTTGAAATCATCAATGAATGATTGTTAGGCCACCATTAGAAACCTGTAAGCACTGGTCGGCCGTTTCGTCCTGGTATGGAACTCATCAGCAGTGCGCATTCACGACTGCTGCACCTCGCAGGACTCGAACCCGGAACCTTCGGTATTGTGCGCGGAAGCCCAACCATCGTACCACTGCTGATGGGTCCCATACCAGGACAAAACGGCCGTCCAGTGCTTCCAGGTTTCTAATGGTTGTCTAACAATGATTGATTGATGATTTCAAATGTGTAAAAACGATGATCTATTGGAATATCCAGAACCGATATTCATTATTTAGCTTTTTCTAACTAATCTTTGATTTTTCTAATGAATACAGTAGCTTAATGGCTACATCTGTGACTTGAAAGTTGGATGGCATCTACATGGACTATGTGGGAAGCAACAGTCATTTTGACATCACAGACTTTTTGTGCTTATGAATGTTAAATCGCACAAAACGAAGGTCTAAGGCTTTTTATCGATCACCTGCAATTACCTAATACATAGTAATGAATTTGTTGAGAAATGTCCTTGGAATTTTATTGTAATAAAAGTTGAACAGTAGATATCAGATGTAAAGTTAGGCGGATAAAGTCATACTGAATGCTTACGTTTATTCAGAAGAATTATGATAAAATAAAACTTACACTTATCTTCTCTTTGTTCACACTCGGAAACTACGATAGCTGCATAATAACGGAGATGCTCAAACCTGGACGGTTTATTCTCATTAAGAATTGGACACTTTGGCAAAGGCCAACTGTATGGTATTAGAACACAATCTCCTGGCTCAATCGGATGTCTGAGAGCGTGCTCTAAATCGATTATTTCGGTTACGTCGATCCACTCGTAATGAAATGTATCTGAATTTGAGGTAGTTGATCCGAACTGTCGTAAGTTAAAATTTGTTAAGCTGTGTATTGGGCCAAATCGTACAAGAACTTGGTCTTTTGGTAGCTGAGATTTCTATAATAATAGCAAACGAAATTGTCTATACTTAAAAGTATATAAATAATGTATCAAACCTTATTTTCCAAGTTTTTTCATAAATTTGTATACGTACTTTAACAAAATCTATTTTTGGAAACGAGAGTTAAAAAAAGAATGACTAAACAGGTAATGAATGAATGAACCAATAGGAAACAGCATGAATGTTACATTTTTACAAGCGGCTTTTGTCGACAGATAACGCAATAACACAGGGTGAGCTTCACAAATCTAACTATCAATATTTCAACGAAAATACTGCATATTTTACAGTCATCGACTTAATTTTTGCTCTATTTGAAAAATATAAATTATTGACTGGAACCGTGATAGCTGGCATTATAACACAAGTAGTAAAGACATTGACAGCATTCACATCGCATTACGGGTGTGTGAGGATTGTTAAGTTCTAGTTGGAAATCGTGACCAGTGAATTTCAACCTGTTCGGGTGTAGACAGTAACTACCGAAGACTCAGTATGAGGTTGCACAACTTTGTGAATTGATCGAAGTTAGACATTAACACTGTTAGATACCGGCTCAGTGGTCTAGAGGTTAGGCTTTCGAGCGCAAGGCCGAAGTACTGGGATCAAATACTGTAAGGTGCAGGAGTCGTGGATGCGCATAGCTGATGAGTCCCATACCAGGACAAAACGACCGTTTAGTGCTTCTAGTTTTCTAACGTTGGTCATGATTTCATAAGTATTCATATTATCAATGACATCCAAAACAGGTTCTGAGCATCATCTAAATGTCATATTTATTTAGTAACTTGTGTAATTTTTAACAGAACGATGCTGGAGAAATTCAAATTTGTATAACGAATTCCTCAAAACTTGTTGTATTACTAATTTGATATGCATTAATTGAGCAGGCCCTTAGCTTTGCTGCACCGCATGTTTATTCAAACTAGTGAAAATAGGCTGCAAGGTCCATGAAAAAAATTACCCTAGTATAGAAAAGATAGAATGTGGCTAGTAATGAAATCCAATTTTGTATTTGTCAGCTGGTTGTACCAAGACCGATCAAATTTCAGTCGAAAATATCAACAACTGGATAATTCAACTCATTTCAAGTCAAGAAAAAAATAATTTTGTTTTCGACTTAATCTCAGACACTCATCAGTTTGATAAAATTCTTAGATCAATAATCAGATATGTGTATCACTTTTACAACTTTCTCATGAAGCCTGTTAGATTAAATTACACAGCTGATTGCGTTGCTCTGACTTGATAGGATATAAAAATTGATCTTAAAAACGAAAGCTTTTGGTTTAACAATTACTTACAATCATTTGAACTGACCCTATATAGTAATGGCCATCAGATAATCTTCTTGCTAACACTTTTTGATTGTCAAGCAGATTTGACATTTGGCCGGAATCATTAGTACACCAGTTAAATAAACATTTTCTTGAGCACGCTTCGTCTTTAGCTGAATCAAAAATCCTACGATTTAAATCATTTACCAGTTTTTCATTGACAGATACACGTGACCAAAGATGGGGATGAATACAACAATCGAAATTGTTTGAAGAATTCGGACAAGTGTGTGGTCTAAAATCTTTGAAAAGAACCAAAACAACCACCGTAATTTAAAAGATTAATTTGTTAACGGAGTTTACCACTGAATAGGTATCGGCAAATGTTTAGGACAAAGCATAGCTCCTTTGTGTCTCATTTAGAGATTTTCCACCAAAAGAGGGAAGCTTCTTAAACAGTAAGTGATTTAACTTAAGAAAACTAAAGTATCATGATGAATTGCTTGCTGAAACCCTTAGATTGTTACTATTTTTGCATGAAAACTCTTTTAACACTTTAAACCGATTAAGTGACACTACTAAATGCACAAACAAACTCATGGCAATTTAATTAAAAGAAGTGATAGAAACTTGCATTTTCATGTTTAATACCGGTTATAAATGTAGACTAAACAAAGTATGTATATATGTATATGCTTTTGAATGGATTATAAATTTAATAAATATTTTTAACTAATTTTTCAAGAGTTTGATTTGCCACAATAGTGCTCAGTTGCTTTCAATCAACTCTGAGACTACATGAATAATCATCCGGATGAAAAATATAACAGTCCTATATATTAAAGTCATATTTGAAATAGTTGCAGAGTAGTAGAAAGTTTTTTAATTTTTTCCAAGTATATACACGAATAATTCCTTTTAATATAAACAAATTCCTAACAAAACTAGTGTGAAAACACAACTTCCCATGTATAGGCTTGCCAGATAGAAAATATTCATGTTTAAGTGTCAAAACTATAACTCACATCTATTCGTAAATTCAGAAGAAGCTAACAATGTTGGTTTCATCAACACGGGCTCATGCTCTTTAGAGCCATTTACAACATAGGCCTTGCCACTAGGTAATAAAATGGAGTGTGAATAATCCATAAATGGTAACATATGAATTTGGAATTCCTTGGGTTGTTTTGCTGTTTTCGACTGATTAGAACCAAGTGTCTTATTGCCTAATAACCATGTAGTGCAACCATCTGGGCATTTTTTGACAAATGAACATATTCGAACTATGGCAAATATTCCAGATGCTAACTGAGAAATGCTTTTGAGGGTTTCTATTCCAGATGAGTCATTGTCTGAAAATGGTGTATGTTCATCAACGACAGTCTGTGAAAGAATAAAAGATTGGAGTTTTTATTAAGTGATGCGATACTAGCGATTCCTCATGATTGAGATAACAAAAAACTCAATTTCTTTTGGACCGAAAATTTAACAGTTCTGAAAAACACAAAAATACAAACATATGGTCGAAAAAGAGTGTAAAGCCATATTCTTACTATAATTTGTAAAATTTCTTCGATGTAAAAAACCAGCTGTACAATAAAGTTTGGGGCGAAACAAATTCTCTAATCAGTGTTCGGCTTTCAAACGTAACTTTTACGTGTAAACTGAAACTACTACATAAAAGACTTAGCTTAAGACGTCCTGGTTTTAATAAAGTAGTAAAAAAGTAAAATTTATCATTCAAATGTGCTACTTAAGTAGGTGAGTTTATAAAAACTTCACCTCTTCGAAACTAATGAAAAGATCTTGTATTAAAAATAACTCATTCTGCTCAGCCTTTAGGTTCACAGGAACAGGTGTTAGGCTTGAAAAAGGTAGTGTATAATGTTGCTTGAGTACTTATATTCAGGTAAAAATGCCATGCTACGATAATGTAACAAATACGTTCATACAAGCTGAAAAAATGTTCAGAATGCCTCTCTTCAAAGTCATGTTATTAGAAAGCGTTTAGTTACCCCAGATTTTTTCCTTTAGCCTAAAAAATTCCATATAATACTAATAATTTCAGTAGAAATAATCGTAATTGTACAGTCGACAGTGTTTTTGTTGTTATAATGAATCATATAACTTATCAATTTAGACCTAACAGTATGGCGAAATATTATACCTAAAGATAAAACGCATTACAGCAGCTTAACAGCCTAACACTTTAAAATTTGCCTTTATATATTACAAAATGTTGATTCTTCATCCACAGACTTCTGAAACTGAACGATACAATTACTCATCTTAAATTGAATACTGTTGGACGTTAAAATTTGTTACAAATAAATATGAAGAGAATCGGATCACTTACATTTTCTAGAACGATAAGCCGGATATGGATGGCTGCCTTTAAATTAAAGTGTGTTATTTTATCCAGCCAGCAACTGTTGTCTCCAAATTTGTAAAGAAGTGTTGTTGGAACAAACCAATAAATCTCAAAGGCTAAATCCGAATAGAACTGGCCGAACTTAATATTTGAGGTTTTTTCAGGTTCTTTAGAACTCTGAAACTTTTTGACCCACCTAAGAGAAGCACATATGTTTCTCTCATTACACTCAATGAATTCCTCACAAAATGTTATCGGATTCTAAAACGTAAGTTTGCTATTAGGCAAAAGACAGACATACTGAAACTGAGAGCGTGATATTAAAACGATACTTTTTGTTAATACTCAGCTTTAAAAGCGATGACTTCAACAGAAACAGCAAACTGCGATTACGTATCAATTCGTCGACTATCCAAATCATTATGGTGTAACCCGTAATAGGCCATAGTACACTTTCACTGTCTGGATTCATGGGACCTTTGATGTGCATATAAAAGAATTTTGGTTTTTCTCGATTGATAATAAGCTTAGACCTGTTCAAAGTTTTTTCGTGTCTGACATATTTCGTGATTACCAAACCTTATGCAGAATGTCTAACAAGTAATGTAGTACAACTGCCGAAGATGTAAGATTTGTTTATCTAATTCGGAGCGAAACTGAGAAACTGAATGGTAAAATCTAATTCGACTAAAGCATAAAACTGCAGTAACAAATAAACAAGTTCAAATAACCGCATTATAAGCAGTCGAGACAAACAACTAAAATTTATTTCGAACAGCTTTTAGACGGTAAACTTTGAAAAGATTATATACGGATTTTATAATTGTTTCTGTGTGAAAATTTCATTTTCTCTTTGATTGTTAGTGAATATGATGGAAATAACTATTTGATAATATTGCCACTGGATGCATTTGACTAAGCTTTGGAAGATTATTTTATATAAAAATCCATGAGCTTGTAAACATAATAGATTTTTAGGATTGTGACGTATGATAACTTAGTCTGTTCAACCAAAAAAATACTACCTGGAAGCTTTCCGTTAAGTAATGTAGCGATAATCCGACACAAACTAAGAGAGAAACCTCTTTTCCAGTGAATTGTTAACTTACCCATCTTATCCTCCATTCACGTACAATGACAGAGTGACCCAAAGAAAAAATTGGAGGGAAACAGTGATCGTTTTGAGGAAATATATATGTGATCGTAAGAACTGATATCGGATCTTAAGGCTTCGAAAAATCTGTCAGTAATGGAAAAACGCCATATCTATTCTCGTCTTTGTCTATCGGCCTAATTCAATCGAGTATATTCAGGTCATTGAGGCTGTCTAAAGTTAGCAGTGTTAGCAAACCCTTTTAGTTTTGGTGTCACTTTTTTCGTGCCACTGAAAGGCGTTGCAAAGAAAGAGTAAGCGAGACATCTAATTAGGCCTTTTGGTTTACGTCATCTGAACTGTAAAATCTAAGCGCTTCAATATCCAATATCTTTTTCACGAGCTAACATAAACCAGCTGACTCCTTAGTTCTCGATTCCCGTTCTTTCGGTGAGATTCCAGGGGTTTTTAAGTAATGTCCAAGGTATGGGAATCTAGCCATTTCGACTGCCTGGCAGTTTGTGAGTCTGTATGTCCCGTGATTTGAATGAATACATTTGTTTCAGGACAGTAGGTTCTTTTGATATCAGCGACTATCACGTTACCAGACCGCAGATCAATTAGTTGCAATGTGGAGAATAATAGAGAAAAAAATCCTAAGGTTAATAGAATACGTTTTCAGAACTAAGTAAACAAATAGATAAATTAGTAGATGAACTGATAGTGAAGTATGTGAGAGAAGACTGAAGTGTAAGCCAGGGAACGGAGACAGAGAAAATAAGCGTGATAGAACAATCAGTGATTTGAGATGGCGATGAGTGTCCGCCTATTGATGGGTAGTTTTTGTAGGATTACCTCGAGGGAAGTGGTGGCGATTCATCCTTAATGTGCTCAGAGTGTTTATCTTTATATCTGTAAATAACATGATAGCCTGTGCTCTATATTTAATCGTACTCAGGGTTGCAAACAGAAATCGAAACTGTAGTTTACAAATCAGTAATAGTAATGTTAATAATCTGCAATGATCTCGATAAGCGACAGCAAATGAATTTCTAGCTTGTAGTACTAATTTCACTTTTTAACAGGACAAGTAGGCTGTTTTTTAGTCACTATGTACATGTATGTGAACTTCACATCTATTAACTTCTGTCCTTGATTTATTTATGTGATGCAGCGTGTTCGTTTCTGTTCTGTTTCTGTTTCCAGATACTCTTAGCATCAGCAAAGTAAATAGTGATTGGGTACAACCGGAAAGGACAACATAGGACTGGATTCCTCGGAGGTAGCTTGTTGGGGACCTATGCACCATTAGTGGTAACATGTGTCGGAAATAAGTGAGTGAGTAGTTAGTTTATACGTGGCATCATATTTCAGGTTTAATCGAAATCACAATGCAAACACTTCTTTGAACTCTAACTATAGCTTTGTTAAATTCAATCGTCGTAGTAATTTTATGACTCAAGTTTCAGTTGAATTTCTGTCAACCTTTTGATTTCATTATATATATATTAATGACTGCAATAAGACGTACGTGGTCATCGGTCCTACTTCTTTGTTCCTGACTAGTCGTTTTGATTACGTTCGATCAACCATCTTCTTTGTACAGTATAGTTGCATCATGTCTCCTCCCCTTATACGTATTTTTGTCGTTCTAGCAAAGTCTTTTAAAAATTTTATCTGTCAACTCAAAATATTCTCGCCTTATTGTTTTTCTCCGTGCGTTTACCTCGTGCCCTGACTTTCCCTGTCCTTTTTGGACTGTTACTGTTAGTTTCAGAACACCAGTCAGCTGTTATTGGCTGCCGTCATCCAGCTCTTCATTTTCTGTATTTGTTTAAGCGTTAATGTGAATATCTCGTCACTTTCTCCTTTATCTCCTAGTCCATATAATCTCATGATGTCTTCATATCCTGTGCTAACGACTCAAACCATAGCGTTAAGATCTCTCAACAGAACTATCAGGTCTTTTGTCCAACATTTCCCCACGACTGATTGTGTCATATCATAGATTTTAGCTTTTTTATACTTTTAATGGTTATCGTTGGTAGGAGGATACTTTAGGATACTATTTGTAGTGATGCCCTCTTTTCCTGTCTTGACGGATGCTTCAATCATATTGAGTCCATAAAGTGCCCATTTTATAGGTGCATCTTATGCTACTTTGGAAAACGTAAGTGAAAATCCTTGAATGTGTGTGTAAATCATTTTATCCTTCCGTCTTATATTTCCCCACTTTTTAGCAACGGGAATAGTTCCCCGGTTCTACCACGTTGTACCTACATACCATACACCCACGTCAACTGCCGTGATGATCAGGGGGCATCGGCATTACGGCTTGACGTTCACCATCATCATCAACAATAATATCTCTGCAAATCTACCACATTAATTCTTGTAAAACGCAGGCTTAAAATTACCTTGCTTTGGTTCTCAGCCATTAGCTGTTCGTCGTAACGTAACCGTCGTTACTCACGCCAACCATATTATGGTACATTGCAGGGTCTGAAACACCTGTGGTGGCCTATTTCTATGTGTTCTTAATCTCCGCAATTAGCTCGTTCAGACAATCGTTACTAAATGGCGTCTGATAAATCAGAAGGTAAACTCGAAGTGTCAAATACATTTATTTTGGCACACCACAAATAGGTGTGGTCTGTACTCGGAATGACAGTGTCGTTCACATGTTGACCGTAAAATAAAAACTTGTTATTATGCTGCTCCAGCAGGTCGTTTTCCAATTTGGTGAGGAAAGTAATAGCCAATTGCGACATCACTTATCAATCTAAATGTATCCTCTCTGAAAATAAAAGTTTACTCTCGCAGTACATTTTATTAATAATTATTTATAATGCCAATTAGGATTATAGTTCTTATTTTCTATTCTTTAGGCTGTTTAGGGATATGTTTAACGGTTTCCGTGAGTGCGACCTTTGTAAACAGTGATGTTACATATAAGAACATAATCGTTTGTTCACTAGTGTTTATGTTTTTGATCTTCTCAGCGAACTGAAATACGTACTTAAAAATATACTTCACTAGGTATTTGTGCAGTGGTTTATAAATGAACACTAATAACTTTTATAACGTACGATAAAGCGAATTGTATACATCGAAAATCGGTTTTAATGAGAACACCGGTTAATGTGCTTTCGATGATACTTATAACCTTAGTAAATGAGTACTTACGAGCTGATTGTTTCCGTTATGTTTGTTTGCATTACCGGTCGATCTCACATGACTGTCAAACGCTCCACCTGATATCATACCACAATGTTACACTTTATTACAAGCAGTTGATAAGAAATCACGAAATTTAATGAATTCACAACATTCTGCTTCGACTGACATTCTAGTTTTATTCGAATTCCCAAAGGGAACTAACTGCAAGAAACATCTTTTCTTTTCAGTCATTCAACTATTGGAGTTAAATTATTAACGAAGATATAATTTACCTGTCAGTATAAATTTTTGTTCAGTAGAATCACTTCTGTTTCCTTTATCCAGTTTCGTAATGTTCAAATTGTCTTTCCTTCATTGACGGACTCCTTGTGTCTTTTCGTTAAGATGCTTCTGTAGTTATATCTACTGTCCTTAAAGTGATCTAGACAATCAATCAGATTTAATTTGAAACTTTAAAGTTATTTATTAAAAGTCGAAACTAGATCTGCTGATTTAAGTTTTCATGTCGGTTATCTGTGTCTTGATGACTTAAGCAGTTGAACGTATAACAGAGTTCTCAACGTACTGTTGATACATTTGATTTTCCTTTATTTAGTTCAGTGACAGTAAAATTATAAGCATACGTTTTAGGTTTAGTCGGAATTTTTATTTTCTGGGGTTTTAGGTAGTTGTATTCCTTTTCTCTCTGATCTTTGGTTAGTTATCTCTGTTAAGCGACCCGAAACCTGGGACTGTTAGTTCATCAATATTGAATTTTCAACAGATATTGCTTATTTCTATCTTCATTAAAGTCTGTCAGTATTCAGTGTATCAATATTTTTCATTATATATTAATGTTAAATCCAATTTATTTTAAATTAAACAAAATTTACAAAATTTGTGTCAACATTTACCACTGTTTACTTTGCATTGTAAATTGTCATTTTGATACGTTAAATACACAAAACTTATGAATAATTGAAATTTTGATCAACAGATAAAAATGAATCAGATTTGTAAATAATTTAGCAGTTCCATAGATATGTATTAATTTTACTACGGGCTTACTACAGTCGTTATAAAGTTGTGTCGATTGGATAAATTAATATTCGTAGTGGTCATAATAGTAGTGGTAATAATAGCAGTAATAGTAGTAGTAGTAGTAGTAGTAGTAGTATTAGTAGTAGTATGATTTATAGACAATCATTTGTAATTATCATCAATTCATATTAAATATT